CTGCTACTGCTACTGCTATTCCTGCTGCTACTACTACTACTACTACTACTACTACTAGCACTACTGCGACTACTATTGCTACTGCTAGTACTAGTACTAGTACTAGTACTAGTATTGCTACTGGTAGTAGTACTTCTGCGATTACTGCTTACTACTTACTACTTACTACTTACTACTTACTACTTACTACTTACTACTTACTACGTACTACGTACTACTTACTACGTACTACTTACTACTTACTAGCTACTACTTACTACTCCCTGCTCCCTACTCCCTGCTCCCTGCTCCCTACTCCTACTCCTGCTACTACTACTACTACTACTACTACTACCACTACCACTACCACTACCACTACCACTATCACTACCACTAGCACTAGCACTTCCCTTTACCGCTACCGCTACGGCTACCGCTACCGCTACCGCTACCGCTACCGCTACCGCTACCGCTACCGCTACCGCTACCAGTACCAGTACCAGTACCAGTACCAGTACCAGTACCACTACCACTACCACTACCACTACTACTCTTGCGACTACGACGAGTACTAATACGGCCTGGCTAGCCTGCGGGCCACTCCCGCGCACATGCTGATGGGCCCGGGGCCGGCGTTTCGCAGGCGCTGGATACCCCCCCTCCGCGCAGAAAAAAAATCCCACGGACGCAAAATAAAATCCCATAGAAATTCTGCACCCTTTTAATTCTTGCAAGGTGTTTGCTTTGGTCAAGTAGTTCGAGCACGTGCTTTGCCAGGCTCAACATTTCGATGCCAATCGCTCAGAGTTTGCGGCGGAGACGGGTCACTTGCGAGAATCCGATTCCGGCAAGTAGACTCGACACATTTTTCGCAAAGCAAGGGCTGAAGATGCAGATTACACTCGTTTTGCCAAGGCCTTTGCAGAGCAAATCTTAAGATTCGACACCGACGTCATTGCGAACGCAGCCAAGGTCAAGGCCGAATCACTTGTTGATCTTTGCTTCGGATGCTTCTCCCCACTTTCTGCCCAAAGTAGCCCCTGGCAGCTGCAAGATGCCGGCCGTCTCGTAGCCCCATTGCCCCATCGTAGGTCCTGCGTGAAGAGCACGCGCAGCTGAAAGCCAGACAAGAGCTCGCGGATCGGCCGGGGTCTTGGCCACGGAGCTGCCTGCTTTCAGGCTGTGCTGTGCAGCTGCGAATGTGCCAGGTCCATTCAGCAGATTTGGGAGCAGCAGGACACCGGACATCCGGCATTGATGCCGGAAGCTTCTTGAAAAGGGGCCTCTCATCCTTATCCGAATCTCAATTCGATTCACATGGGGTCGCAAGTAATGGACATGCGAGGTCAGAAGTTGTCAAAACACGTCGCTCATGATGAAAGCAAGTTCACAGAGGATGGGATCCCATCCTTTGCAGGACTCATTGGGCCGCCTCCTTGCAAGCTTGACCGAGGCACGGCGTGCAGAGCGAAGGTCGTCGGCCGGATGTAACTCCGGGCTGTTGAGATCGCAGGCTCTCCGAACTCAGCCGCAGCAGGCAGACGAGGCCCGCAAGACACGGAATCACAGAATGGAGTAATTTCTGATTAGAGTCCCCATATCGTCCCTCTAGAGTTACTACGTTTTCGCCTACCCCGAAACCCTTTTCCAATTGTTATGGAGAAGGGCACAGTGCCGAGCGAAGAGCCGGGTGTATAGACTTTCTGCTTGCCTGTTTCATCTGCCCTGCTGTCTCGTTTTGCATCGAAGAGTTGAGGTTTGTTGTTTGGGTTTTGTTGGAGTCCCTGTTGGGTGTAAAGGCGAGGGATTCGATGGAAGAAATGGCTTCACCGGATCGACTCTTTGGATTCATGCGCTTATCCCGAGGCAGCGGGCAGTGCAGCCGCTCCGGTCCCCTGCTCGGCTGTTGCAAGACGGTTTAGGGTTTAGGGGTTTAGGGTTTAGAGAGAAGTTTAGGGTTTGGGCCGGAGCCCCGCTCTCGCATTGTGAGGTGCGTGCCCACCAGCGTTCTCTTGGGTTGACCATGCAGCTGGACGAGTTGGAGCGCCAGGCCGGGCAGGGCAAAACGGCCCTTAAAGGGCAACGGGCTCGCATCTACTCTCGCAAAGGTGTCAGTCAGAAGACTCACTCTAGCCCGTCTGTTCGCTTAATTTGCGAAAGCTTATACGGCCACTTAACTTGAGGCGGTGCAGGAGTCGGTGAGGAGGAGGAGGAGGAGAGCATGGCAAGAGAGTTTGCAGGGAGTTGTGGTTAAAATCCACAAGAAAGATGCAACAAAAGCACCGGATGCCTCGTCAGACTGCGGGAACCGGCGCGAAACACTACGTCTATACCTGTAAGACCGAGTCCTTGCTGTCGAGCAAGCGGCGTTCCACTCGGGTGTCGATGGTAGCGATGCAAAGCTGGAGACTCGTCTGCCTGCAGCTTGCAGGCAGAAGACTTGGCCCGGGAGTGCATGCCTCAGCCTCCAAGCCAAGTTTCTGAGCATGTGGATGAAGTCCTGCCCCTGTTACGCAACAGATTCGCAAGGACTGGAAAGGTGCAGTCCAACCTGTACAAGGACTGTTGCGAGTTGGGAATCGCCGTTTTTGTGCGGGCGGTGATGTTTCTGCCAGGAGCCGCTCACAACAGTCGTGCGGGCCAGGCACCCATTTGAAGGTCGTCGGCCAGAAGTCACGAATTCTAATGAAGCTTCACGACAGATGTTCCTGACAGACATGCTGTGCCACACAGATCCGCACTATTGACTAGCCTTTGCTGGCATCAACTTGTCGCACTCTCGTTGCGAGGGTGCTCGCATTCAAGGTGCTTGATGCCCATGCAAGTGCGCTGGACGCCATCCAAAATCAGGTGCTGCCGGTAGCATCAGACAGAGGGAGCTAATTAGTCATGTTTGGGTTCAGCATGTTTGCAAACCAGTTTTCTGACGGCTTTCTTGTTTATTTGATCCTGAAGGTTGGCTCCGTCACTCAGCGGATCCAAGCTATCGAGGGTGCCCTGTGAGGGTGGAGTTAGGCTGATGCTGAAGCCGCTGAAAAGTCTGCCTCTGTGCGGTAACGTCTTGCGCCGCCACTTAGATGGCTAGAGTGCCTAGAGTAAGAGGAAAGACTGCATCCCACTGGAGCATGTGGACGCCAGCGCGAACATTGGGGATTCCTTCGCTTGATGCACGATGCTAGTGAGCTTGTGATGCTTCATTTCTCCGACATAAGCTGTATTGCTACTTCGGAACCAAACTTGGCTTCCTGTGACTATCTTGGGAGCATCTAGCATAGAATGCCACCGGTGACAAGCTGAAAGACAGCTCTTTTCCACAGCTTCGACGGCTCCAAGCGGCTCTAGGCACTGCTCATTTTCGCGTGTCTCACTCACAGCCATGCCTGTCGGCACTTCGAACAAGGCCCAGTGCGAGCCCTTCAATGACGCTGCAACAAGGTGTAGATCCACAGCGGAAATTCGGCCATTGCGCCTCATTGAACAAGCAGCCTAAGTTTCTGACGTTTTTCATCCAATTGCTGAATGTCTGGTAGGCCCAGAACGATGTGATCCGCAAGAAGGCTGGCGGTTCAAAGAAGGACCTCTGGGGTGCATTCCATGTGTCAATGGCAGCCCAGAACCGGCTGTGCTAAATCGGCTGTGGGGCTCCCGATTGGTGCAGGAGCAAACGGACGAGGACCAGGGAGCAACATCAGAGCTCGAGCATTGCTGAAGCAAATGCTAGGGCCTGCCATCTGTCATCGTCCGTCTTTGCTACTAGCAGTGTCACAGTGTCTTCTTTCCGAACGCGGAGGACCTCGAGTTCAAGAAGAAGCAGGTGCTGCAGGGCGCTACAGCTGCTAGTGCCGGTGCATTTAACGCAACATTACTAATCATTCAGGTCATTCCGCAGGCAAATAAGTTTGCGCCCGCAGGCCGAAGAGAAGAAGGCCATGGCTGCAGCTGCTAAGGCCCTGCTGGGATCTTCTTGGAAGTTTCAGGGCCCTGAGGCACATTATCTCTAGGTTTGGAGGCTCTGCTCAACTGACCACAGATCTGCGAGTTGGATTTTGTTCCAGCTTAGTTCTTGTTGGTGAGTTGCAGCTTCGAATTGATGTCAGTCAATGGGAAAGAAGAAGTCTCGACCTTGGCTTCTCAGAGCTACAAGTTGAACTTCTCGCAGTGGCTTCATTCACGTGTCGTTCTTGACACGAAAAGCACGCATTCCGAACACCTGCAAAGAGTGTTTTCAAGATCTGGGAAGCCAGCTACCTCAGTGCATGCTCCTGCGATTCATCACTTTGGCTACTTGCAGAGCTATGTGAAAGTGTGGATGCAGTTGCAAGCACTTCACAGCTGCAAAGCTCGAGTCTTGAGCCGAGGTGAGATGGAGCAGGGAGAGCAACCTTTCAACACAGCGGGACGGACCATTGCACCACCATGCCAGCTTGGCCGAAGATCTCAGACCTCAGGCCCTTCTCTATGAGTGGTTGTGACATTAGTGAGGAAAGATATACAGGTGTCCTCGCTTTTTGTGGGGAATTGGCTGAGATTGAATTCAGCAGCTGGCGTGACAGCTCTTGAGCAGCTGGCACTGCGAATGCCTTTGCCAAGAGAGCTGCCGACGATTGGCCAGCAAGACCGGCACATAGGGGGCCGGCAGGCAACAGACTTCTGAACTGAGTGACAGAAGGCGCAGTTTGCCATGGTTTTATGGTTTTGAGATTCGCAGTTTGCGGTGTTGTGCCCACGGCACCGTTTTCTTCAACGGCTTGTCCGACACATCTGGCCAGCAATCTCTGCCCCACATGTCTGATATGAAGAATCTACTTCGTTTTCTCCCAGCTTTCGGTTTGGAGACATTCAATAACTAGGTAGAGGCACTTCATGGCGCGCTCTGCAATGGGGCTGCGGGCCGTTGTGCTGTGCTGGGTCGCCCTAACGCACGCTAGGCTTGGCTAGGGGCTTGCTGTGTGCCCTGAAGATGTCCAAGGGTTGAGTTCTGCCTCTTTGAAGTCACCGCACCTGCGAACTCAGACTGCAAACCTGTGCATGTAAGAGAGTGCCCTGCTAGCTTTGGGGCGATCATCAATGCTGATGGAACAGTGACACCTGAATGTGACTGCCTCAGCATCCGGCACCCACATGTCTCTCAGCGGTCTTCCTTTGCACGTGTAGTGTTGGAAAGAGAATCATACGCATCCGACAAGGTTTGGGGGGAAATGCTACTCAGCTGGCCGACGTCTTTGAGTCGACGAACTGGGAAAGAGGCGCAAAACGCTGACAGATGGGTGTGGTGTGCCGTCAGACAAACTTGGCTTTTTGGCTTATTAATCACGCCCCGTGCCATTTCAACTCCTGGTATCTGGTCCGGGACTGCTCGGGGAGAAGCCAATACATAGGGTGTTCTTCTGCATGTTTCCGTTGCAGGCCTGAACCCACAACGGGTCTATAATCGCCGCAGCGGCCAAGAAGACGTCGAGGTCCGCAGCCTGCAGCTTCGCTCGGCGGAAGGCTTCGAGTTATCGAAACAGCTCACTTCGAAAGTCAAGACATGCTCCAGGCATGGCTGAGTGCTGGGGACGTCTGCAGCGGGCATCGGTGCGACAAGGCGCACATGCACAGGGAGGGCATTGTGCTTCTGTGATTTGTTGGTTAGTGAATTGCCTAGCACCGACACATCGTGGGAATCGCCCGCCAGGAAGCTTGCCCCTGCGGCTGCTTGGTTGACTTGATCTTGGGGCTGAGTTCGTCTCGCTTTTGTCTCAACGTGGATGCTTGTCTGCATGTCTCGTTGTCTTGTACTGTAGCTCTGCATCGCTCCATGGCTCTGTCCATGTGCTTTCCTTGTTCCATCCTTGCTGTCGACAGAGTCTTCAGACCATCACAGCACGTCTCTTTGTATCTTTGATCGCCTGCACTGTTTCAGTCCCTGTGTTACTCTCTCTCGCTCGCTTGCTCGCGCACTCTCCTTTCCTCCCGTTCGCTCGCCGGATTGGTCGCACTGCCTCCCTGTTCTGTGCTTGATCAATCTTCGCTCACTCGCTCTCTGTCTTTGACTTTCTCTCTCCCTCGCTCCCTCCCTCCCTGTTTCTTGGCATCATGCAGATTGAACGAAGTGGCACAGGTTGCGAGTGCGGTACCACGGCAGATCCCGGCCTCTGCTATGTGCCGAAAATTGTACTGTAGCGCTGTGCGGGCCGAAAGATACAAAATCGCGTGCCATGGATTGAAGGAGTAGCGTTTGGTTCTTGGGGCTCCAGGGATAACATTGTTTCATCTTCAAGCGGATCTGCCAACCTACGAGACATGTAGCGGGGTTGCTGCTTGGCTCTCAATCGCATGTCAGATAGAAAGGCAAGCACCCTTCAACTTAGAACTTTGACTGAATGCTCGCACTGTGGGCCCGGGACTCCTCCAGCTTCACTCTCCGAGCGTCACAGCTAGTCACACCCCTCGAAGCCATCAGTCTCTCCGACTCCTCAAAGCATCCCTCGGCCTATGGACGCCATCGCTGCGTGGCATGGGCCTCTTCGGAGCGCCCACAGATGGTCCGCTGGAGAGTATCCCGGTTGCAGCTACTGGCTCGTCACAAGGTGTATCTTTGGCCATCAGACGCATACTTGAAGGATCAAGCTTGCCGCATGTGTCGTGAGCCGAGGACCTGTTGCGGTCTGCCACAGAGAACGGCATCAATGTGCAGGTCCCCAGTACCAAGTTACCAAGTTCGGAATGGGACCTGTAGTTCTGCAGAGACGTTCCATGCAAGGGCTGCGAGCAGCAGCCAGCCGTCGGCACTGCGCAGAACAGCACCGATGGCACCGAGTCCTTGCCGGAGGCGCCCACCAAGCGGTAAACCAGCACAGCTTCCATAGTCAAGAGCCCCATCGAATCATGGAAAGGCATGCATGGCATGCAACCTTTGCAGGAGGTGGAGGACGAGGACCTTCCTCCTCTTGTCTCCCATGAGCTGGAGGATCTCTCTGGGAACGAGTTGGTGCAAGCTCGCTCAGAGGATTTAGGAAGCTAGAGTTGCCGCAAAGGCAGAGGGTGTCACAACTGAACGATCAGTCTGTGCTTGTCAATCAGTGTAGACGAGTGGGGCGTTGTGCCAGCGGTGGAGGTGCAAGCTTCAGTGAGAGGGTCACCAGTAAAGGCCCCGCTTGCCAGGAGTGTGCGGGACCCGAGGCTGATGAGCCGCAGTACCCGGAGCCCAGGACGGGCGGATTTAGGGAGTGAAGAGTCCGAAGGACCAAGTCCATCATGTTTGAGCAGTAGGCTGCGCACAACAGTCATGTCAGGGTCCGAGGTGACATTCGTGACCGTGCGCTTGCAGAATCCTGTGCCTGTGTCGATGTGACGGCGTGTCTCCAGCTCGTCGTCGGAGTGGTGACTCTTGCAGGACGGACGAGGAGCCGACCGAGAAAATTGAGGACATGCCTGAGCAGGCCTTCCCGGCCCTTTTGGGGTGCAGTGAATTGCCCCGCATCTTGCCGAGATCGAGGAAGAAGAGCCAGACTTGGTTTTGGACGACGAGGATGTCGAGGAGGAGAGCCATGGGCTTGGGCTGGTGGAGTGGTCAGGGAGGGCAGCGTAGGCACATTGCTTCGCGAGGAGCTCTTTGAGGAGTCGCTGCCGAGTCCTGCGGTTGCCCACCCGAAGCCAGAGGCTGTTTGCTCTTGAATTCAGCACAGCAAAGGTTGTAGTTCCTCCGGCGTGAGAGTACCTGTCTGCCTTGCAAGGGCATCACTGATGGCCCCTGGCATGCCGGTGGCTTCGAGAAGCTGATCTGCAAGTAGAGCCTTCTGTCAGTTCGTTTCGCGTCTCTCCGAAGGGGACGGATGGCTTCCCTCCGACCATGTCGCATCACTCCGCTGAACCGATTATCTCCGTCGTAATGACCAGGAGCATCTAGAGGGACCATCCTCGAAATGCCGTTTATCTTGAGGTTCTTTGCGGCTTTCGACTCTGGCAACCTTTGTGGAGCTGCCCTGGCGCGGCCCTGTGAAAGCCAGGACCACCTGGCCAAGAAGGACAGGCTGAAACCAAGGCTTCGACTCTCCGATCTTAGTCTCCCTCCGTTTGTGTTCGACGGAGGGTGTTACGATGTGTTACGGCTCACATGCTTCTCATTACCATGCCGGGGCATGTCGAGTCGAGTCAGAGAACCGGGACTAGAGCTTCGCAAGTTTGGTCCACAACCTGACCATCTGTGCGCTGTCATGCCGTGGCACGAGAGTTTGGGGTTTAGGGGTTTGGGGTGGGCTCAGGGTTAAGGGTTTGGGCCATCCTGGGGTCAGGCTAATGGAGAGGAAAATTTGCATGTCTTGCCAGTCTGCCGGCAACCCCCAAATGATTCGACTCTTGATGCGTGCAGGGACTGTGCCTGTTGAGGTGGCCCAAGCAGGATTCCGTGCCGTTCTGCACACCCATCTGCGTCATTCAAGCCGAGTCGCCCTCAGCAGCATGAAAATGAAGCTGGCCTGGCGCGTGGTCATGGGCCTTGTTATGGCTGCCCGTTTTACGGCTGTCTGCTCTCCAGAAAGATGCTTGACCCCTGCTACAAGTGGGTTTGCCACGAAGGGCCACGAACGGTCCTTGTGCAAATAGGAGTTGCTCTTAGTTGCGTTAAGTTGCTTATCAGCTCATGGTGGAGAATTGTGCAGCAGCGCTTCTAAGGCTGGGGCCTGAGAATTGTTTGTGAAACGCACAGGGTCACAGGGGCCGGCATCGATGCTTTCGGAGTCATGCTGTCTCGTCATGACCAGTTCTTTGAGTCTTTGACCGTTTCGCTGATGGGTTAGCGCATCTTGGATGCCAACATGCTGTGCTGTATGTTTGGCCGACTACGAAACAGGTGAGTCCCGCGCACCCCTGAGGCGGTGCCTGAGGTTGTCTTGCGGAACCGTGAGCTTGTTTAGCCGCGGTGTGCATTGGATGCCTTCGCGCTTCGCGCTTGTCCTCGCTTGT